GCGGGAAGCAAAGGGGAATGAGGGGGGTAGCAAGGGAGAATGAGGCGGGAAGCAAAGGGGGATTGGGGCCTGAAGCAAGGGGGAATGAGGGAGGTAGCAAGGGAGAATGAGGCCCAAAGCAAGGGGGAAGGAGGCCTGAAGCAAGGGAGAATGAGGCCTGAAGCAAGGGGGAATGGGGAGGGTATCAAGGGAGAATGAGGAGGGTAGCAGTGAAGAATGGGGTGGGAAGCAAGGGGGAATGGGGTGGGTAGCAAGGGGGGATGAGGCCGGAAGCGAGGGGACATGAGGCAGGAAGCAGAGGTAATGAGGCGGGAAGCAGGAGGGGGTGAGGCGGGTACGTGGGAGGAATAAGTGTGTGAGTGAAGAACATGGAAGCGGGTATCATGGGGGAATGTGGACAAGATCAATACGGAACTGTTTGTTCATCCGTCCTGCCAGCTTGATATGCCAACAAACATGACACAAAGCGCAATGGAGAGGCCTTGAATCAGTCCTGCATGACTTGACAACAAGTGTGGCCAAATGAGAGTGTTGGCCACAACCAGTCCTCCATGTCTAGAGAACACTACCCGTAGGGAATTGTTTGTCACTGGCGTTCCTGCTTGACATGTATACAAACAATACACAATGGGTCTGTGTGACGCTGCAAAACATACCTGCATGTCGCCACAGCTCTAGTGGGTAGAACAACAGGGGTTTCTCAACTCCGTTCCAGCATGAACCTAGAACATACAACACAGCATGGTCTTGGGTCCCTGCATAAAGGTTGCCCTGTATGGCATGATAGCAGCCATGCCCCATACGGGGAGTTTGTGTCTGGCTCTATTACCGTATTATTGCACCTCAATTGGCATGAGAGGAGACATGCCCATACGCGTTGCATAACGACCAGGCAGCAATCAAATAATGCGTACTTACTAATCATTCGATGTATCAGAATGACTGCTCCACCGCAGATCGTTATGTGCATGTTCTGTGAAGGTGGTGTTTGGTTTTACACTGTTATGTTGCATACTTGACACTATGCTAATGGGTTAGGGGGACACCTATTACGAGTGCAATTGAGTGAGCGAACGAGGATTGCACTATCGGGAAAAAGGTACAACTTAGCGAAGGATTGCTATTAACAATGCACTATTTTCCTAAATAAGACAAGTGCATGCAGTTTCCTACTCTACCTGGTCTAGTGCACGGGCTTGTCTATGCAGTACACCTCCTCCACATCCTCATCGTCCGACAGGAATGGACTGTCCTCCACTTCCTCCTCCCCCACAATCTCTTGATCGTCGTCAAAGGCCTGTTCCACTTCATCGTCCTCCTCCTCCTCCTCCTCATCCTCATTCTCCCAGGCATTTCGAGCAGCCACATCTTCACCCTCCTTCTGCTTCCCTTTCCTCTCCCTCTCTGCTACAGCCAGCTTCAAGCTCTTCGCAGGGCGCCTAGTACGCAGGGACCTCCACACCTCCAGTGCCTCCGGCCAGTCGATCTCATACTTGAGGAGCGATATCTGCATCAGCTCCCCCAGAGGCGCGTTACACAGCGCTCCTCGCGCCCAGGACTTGATGACGTTCTGCCTGGAGAACCCCCTCTCGCACTCCACGGTGGAGAGAGGGAGCACAGCCAGCGCCTGCCACAGCATGATGAGGTTGGGCCATCTCCTGCCAGGCACATGCGACACAACGGAATTAGTTAGCAATCTACAAGATTGTAAAACCCATGGACGCAGAGTAAAGGCTACCTCTTGGATTCTGCGCTCCCAAGGAAGTTGGACAGGCCCTGGGTGAAGCTCTCCATCTCATGGTGTGCCTCCATGATCGCGCTGAAGGTTGGAAGCTCCCTCTCTGCTGCTTTGATGTCGAATCCCGGCAGCTTGTTGCGGAACAACTTGCTGCACCCGTTCAGCCACTCCTTACACTTCTTCTCTTGCTGGGCCTTGATCTTCGGCCACTTGCCCGCCCGGAACAGCTTCGTCGGCCCCAGCTTCCCAAGTTCATCCAGTCGGTTGGTGAGGTTGTCCACGCAGTCACGGGCGAATATGCGGCACAGCTTCACGCAGTCTGCGTAGGTGCTTCCGTGTTTGTGCCCCTTCAGCTTCCGCTCATGCATGGTGTACAGGTGGTTGATAGGGCGCCCAGCACCGTCCACGCCGCGCACCCGGACCTGCTTGCCTCCACCCTCCTTGTGGACTTTGTGGAAGTTCACCAGCCAGCTCTTCCCTCCGAGCTCGTAAGCTTTCTCTGGCGTCAAGTAGCGCTCCACCAGGTCACTCGTTGTGGACTCGATCATCTTCGCAATCTCTGTCACGTCCAGTTGTGGCAGAGCAGGGGTAGACAAAAGGGAGAAGGATGAGCAACAGTGCAGTTACGAACCCCACGTAGCAACATCATACAAACATGCGACCTCACCTCTCGTCTCTGGAAGCAGCGGTTGAGGTCGTTCATGTCCGCCAAGATGTCGGCCAAGAAAAACAAGCAGAACTGAAACTTGTAGCAGGTAACAGTCTCGTACGCCTTGTGATTGTGCTCCCAGAGCAGAACGATGCAAGCGCCGAGGACCTTGCACAGCCTGGCCACCGCATCTCCTCGAGACAGCCACCGCACCGTGTGTATGCCTTGGACTTCCAGGTTGGTCTTGTAAATCACACGTTGCAGGTACTTGAACCGCTGACTCCACACGCTGGAGTTTCCGAGCAGAGTTGCCACAGTGCGCACCACCTTGTCGACCATGTCGAGATCCGGGTTTGACTCAGCGGCGTCCTTCACAGCCAACGCCTCACTGTGTAAAGCAGAGAACAAATATTATGGTTTGTTAGTAAACCCTTTGAACGAGAGAAAAATGGGACAATGAAGGCACGTAATGGAAATAACACACTAGTGAACAAAGGAACGTTGGCTGCTGGTATGGGGAGGGAAGGGGAGGTTGGAGATGGCAGGAGCACGAAACCACCGCGCCGCGATTCCACGAACTTGATGGCAACATTCCTAGATGAATTCGTCCTTGCATTCAAGGCCGAATTCATTCAAGGACTCCTTGGCTGCCACCGCATGCTGTCTACAGGCCATTCTGGCCAATGGCAGATACATGCTGTGCACTGTGCGGTGCGCGTGGCTGCACCGTCTCATTGAATTGGCTGCGTTGGCGTGGTTGCCAGCTGTGATGTACAGCACGTAAGTGGTGTCCTTTGTCATTATTACGCATACTCTACATGGACAGAGTCGGCATGTACACTACCCTGAGCCTAGTTACAAGAATTCAGAGTCCGTTAAGTATCTACTCTGATAGCACCAGAGTTCACAAAATACACAACCTGTGTTTGCAGGGACCACCAAGTCGTAAGCCAGTAATCACCCTGAAATCAGGGTAATTACCCTGATATCGTCAGCCCTGGCCGTGAGGTCGGGGTGCGACGTGCGAAAGTGGCGGGCGGATTGTCGATGCGAGTGGTAACGGTGCTGACTGAGGTGCTACAGTGATGGACGCGTTTAGCAGGGATGCGAAGTAAGGAAAACGAGATTTTGCTTACAACTGCATAACCCCCTAATTCCACTCTTAACATGTAGGTACACCACACTATTGAGGCTTTGCAAACTAATGTGCCATTACGCGCCCCGCCCTGCGCCATTCCACTCGGCTCCACGCTATGCCACGTACGCGAACCTCCCTGATTTGCGAACCAGTCGCAACCACACACAAGGAACTTTTGAGTCTGCGTTTTTATCGCAGACGTGCCGCAACGGCTTCGTGTCGACCTGTCGCATCGCTGTACGACTTGCTGCGATCGAGCGTCGCCGTTTCTCCGCAGACCCTATGTGACTCTTGACGTGCCAGCTTGTGTAGGTTTGTGTGGCACGCGAGGCACTTATTTGTAAACAGTACGACAACCCGGGCAGAATAATTATGACCCTCGCGAACCCAGATACAGTAGCGCATTTGACTGTCGGGTTTAACAATAAAAAGCCCACCCTGCCGCTTGTGGACTGATACTCAATTAAGCACGTTAGGTCCCACGGAATCTTAACACGGCAGTGCTGCATTTTTTTCCTTTATACCCCTCAACCCTCAGGCGATTGGTTGAGGGCGGAAATGGGGGACCTGACAGTCGCAACGTGCACCATAGCAGGAAACACTCAAACCCTCATCACCTCCGTGCTCCCCTTGCATGCCTCCAGATGTGACGATCGCCTGCTCTAGGCCCCAGACTTTGCCTCGTCCCTCACCCTCCTCAACCAATTTCTTATGCTCGTAGACTGCTGTCAGGTTCTAGGCGTTAGCACAACCCGCAACCTCATAGTACTGCGTGAATGGAAAGCTAGACATGGTAACAAGGAAATCAGACAATGAAGGGGCCCGAGGGGGCGATCGTACTGGCTGAATCGACTAAAACCCCCGACGAAACAAACTTTGGCGAGTTAGTAACAGCAGATAAGATGGCCGAGCTCGTAATCGAGTATCGCAAAAATAATGCGTCGACGTCGCGAGATGTTGTTGGGGCCAGACGTGTCTCGTCATCCGGTGACGAATCGAATAGCGACTGCGAGGTGGAGCCATACGCAAACAAGGGCATATCATCCCCTTCGAAACCAAGGGATAAGCGCGTGAAGCGCTTAGATGATCTCGTTCCCAAAGGCGGCCAGAAAGGTATGTGTTTATGGTCGCAGATGCGGAATATTCTACTTGTATGCATGAATTGATGCTTGTAGTCGTGTCTGACCTGTTGGAGGTTATCGTCTCTCCAATTATGTTTCCACATCAGCGATAGCGGACAAGCGAGACAACCGGGGGGGCCGTAAGCACCGTCCAAGAAAAAGAGGCACTCGTTCACATCGTGAGGAAACGCCTGCGTGTGAAGGCGACGAGGAGGGCAAAGACGGGGGACCTGACAGCTTAGGTACGCTGTGGGTGTGATATCGACGCTTTATATTTTGCACGTTACTCATAACAATGACGCCGCATGTCATGCTGCAACTCCCTATATATTGTTTATATCTTATGTACCTGTCATGTCCGCCTTCGCAGATGGGACGGCAGGCCAACGCGCTCGTGGTGGCGGAAAGCGCAACGGCGGCAGGGCTGCCGCGGCCAAGGGCGGTCCCTCGGGCAGGCAGTCGCAGGATGCGGATGGAGGCGACGAGGGGGATCATGCCGAGCCGGAAGCTCGTGGTGGCGGAAAGCGCACCGGCGGCAGGGCTGCCGCGACCAAGGGCGGTCCCTCGGACTCGCAGGATGCGGATGGTGGCGACGAGAAGGATCATGCCGAGCCGGAAGCTACTGGTGGCGGCATACGCAACGGTGGCAGGGCTGCCGCGGCTAAGGGCGGTCCCACGGGCAGGCAGTCGGAGGATGCAGATGGTGGCGACGAGGGGGATCATGCCAAGCAGGAAGCTCGCGGTGGCGGCATGCGCAACGGCGGTAGGGCTGCCGCGGCCAAGGCCGGTCCCTCGGGCTCACAGGATGCGGATGGTGGCGACGATAAGGATCATGCCGAGCCGGAAGCTCGTGGTGGCAGCATGCGCAACGGCGGCAGGGCTGCCGCGGCTAAGGGCGGTCCCTCGGGCAGGCAGACGCAGGATGCGGATGGTGGCGACGAGAAGGATCATGCCGTGCCTGCATGCCGTGGCGTTAACGATCATGATGAGGACGAGCCAGCAGCTGTGACTGATGGGAAAGGTGGACGTGAAGCTGTGATTCCCTACCAACGGCGCAAGGCTGTGGATCCGGGCAGTTGCGACCATAAGGCGAGACAAGCTCGGCGCGGCCCCAATGTGCACGTTTTGAGCTCGTCTGGTTCCAAGGAAGATTCGAGCGACAGTGAGTCGGGCAGCTCATCCGGGAGTGAGGAGGTATACGAGGACGAGGTTGAGGAGGAGGAGGAGGAGGATGATGAGGAGTTGGAGCCGGAGAGCGAGGATGGGGAGGAGGCTCGGCCTTTGCAGAGGAGGAGTGTGAGGAAGCTCAAAAAGGGCAACGCTAAGCAAAAGTCGGAGAGGGGACGGGTAAAGATCTGTAAACAGAGTGTGCGTCGTGCCAAACCACAAGGCAAGCGCCAGAGACCTCGATTCGAAGCTAAAATAGTGGGTGTGCGTAGCAAGGCGAAGCGGGAGTTGAATTTTTACGAATCAATGGGGAGACGATGTCCATCAAGCTCTCATGAACGGCAAGCCGCGGACCCGTACGCTGCGTTACGCGATCCGAGGGGTTCGGCTGGGAAGGGAGATCAGATGGCTTGGGGGTCAGCGCGGTTTGGCAAAGAAGCAACGGACCCGCCCCCCAACCATATGGGGGGTCGCGCGGTTCATGTGAAGAACGAGGGGGCAACAAAGCGGCACGAACCCTCGGTAGCTGCAGCAGCGAATGACGGTCTGGGAGGTGTGTGGGCGAATGCCTTGGGTGAATGTGGCGGCGGTGTGGAAGGCTCCATGTGGGATATACGGGAGAGCAGGGGAGAAGGGGGGGACGAGAAAATGGATCCAGCGACTAAGGAGGGGAGGGGAGAGAGCATGGGCACACCTGGCGCATCCAGTCGGCCGGATGTGGCTGGCGGCAGGACTGTGGAGCAGCTCATGCGAGAGCTTGCCCAGCGGGATCGCGAAATCGCTGCACTCAAGGCAAGGCCAGGATCAAAAGGAGCTGTCAAGCCCTGCACCCCTCCATCTAGGCCTCCTCCTCTAGCATCTCTGTCGAGCGGCCCATCTATAGGGGGCCTCGATCCAGACGTGGCGCCAGAAAGCCCAGCGACGGTAGACGTAGCGGTCCGTCGAACGCGTGGGATGCCCACACCCAAGCTGCTGAAGGTGAGATTGTTTTAGTGTTAAACAATGTGTGGCATGGGGCTCAGTGATAGCTGCAGCTCTCTCTCTCAACCCCTCTTGCTGCTGGTAAGCGTGTTTGTGGCATTATGCGCAGTGATAGTGGCATGTCTGCAGTGGGATAGGCATTCCCAGTACGCCTCGCTTCAGGGACGTGGCGCTGGGCATACGATGCTCTCACATTCTGCCCCCGACCCAGAGCTCACTATAGCAGTTATCCATCCTCCATTGGCCCCTCTCTCCCATCCCTTCCCACCCTAAACCAGAGCCCCTGTTCATGGTGCTGGTGCTGGTGTGGGTGGCACGCGGCGCAAGGATAGCTCATTGTGTCAGTAATCCTTCCTATCCCTCCCCCCTCTCTCCCATCCCTCGCCTAGCTCTTCTAGAGCCCCTGTTCCTGGTGCTGGTGGTGGTGTGGGTGTCATGCGGCGGAGGGATAGCTAAGCATAGCAGTCATCCTTAATCTCACTCCCCACTCTCTCCCATCCCTCCCCTCCCTCTGCGAGAGCCCATGTTCATGGTGCTGGGTGTGGTGTGGAATACATGTCGTGTGGCGGAGGATAGCTAAGCATAGCAGTCATCCTTCATCTCACTCCCCTCTCTCTCCCATCCCTCCCCGCCCTCTGCGAGAGCCCCTGTTCATGATGCTGGGGGTGGTGTGGGTGTCATGCGGCGGAGGGAATAGAGGAAGCCGTATCCGTCAATCCCACGCGGCCCCCTTTCTGTCCGCCGCTCCTCCCTCCCCTCTCTATCCCGTCCCTCTCCCTCGTCGTCCAGAGCCACTGTAAAAGGTGCTGCTGGTCACGCGTGTGGCATGCGGCGTAGCGTGCAGGGGGGTGGCTGCAGTGGAAGTTGAGACTCCTCGTACAAGGAGAACATGGACCCTCGCGCTGGGCGAACGGTGCCCTCTCAATGTGCCTACTCTCCCGTCTTTCGCTCTGACTATTGTATCCCCCCTCTCTCCCCTCTCACTCGTGCATCGCTCCCCTACCTCAACCAGAGCTCCTGTGCATGGTGCTGGTGGTGGGGTGGGTGTCATGTGGCGGAGTGATCGTAAATCGCAGCAGTTATCCTTCCCATCCCTCCCCCCTCTCTCCCATCCCTCCCCTCCCTCTGCGAGAGCCCATGTTCATGGTGTTGGGGTGGTGTGGGTGTCATGCAGCGGAGGGATAGCTAAGCATAGCAGTCATCCTTTACCTCACTCCCCGCTCTCTCCCATCCCTCCCCTCCCTCTGCGAGAGCCCATGTTCATGGTGCTGGGTGTGGTGTGGAATACATGTCGTGTGGCGGAGGATAGCTAAGCATAGCAGTCATCCTTCATCTCACTCCCCTCTCTCTCCCATCCCTCCCCGCCCTCTGCGAGAGCCCCTGTTCATGGTGCTGGGGGTGGTGTGGGTGTCATGCGGCGAAGGGAATAGAGGAAGCCGTATCCGTCAATCCCACGCGGCCCCCTTTCTGTCCGCCGCTCCTCCCTCCCCTCTCTATCCCGTCCCTCTCCCTCCTCGTCCAGAGCCACTGTAAAAGGTGCTGCTGGTCACGCGAGTGGCATGCGGCGTAGCGTGCAGGGGGGTGGCTGCAGTGGAAGTTGAGACTCCTCGTACGAGGAGAACATGGACCCTCGCGCTGGGCGTACGGTGCCCTCTCACTCTGCCTACTCTCCCGTCTTTCGCTCTGACTATTTTATCCCCTCTCTCTCCCCTCTCACTCGACCATCGCTCCCCTACCTCAACCAGAGCTCCTGTTCATGGTGCTGGTGGTGGGGTGGGTGTCATGCGGCGGAGTGATAGCTCACCATAGCAGCTATCCTTCCTCTCCCTGCACCCTCTCTCCCATCCCTCCCCCACCTCTTCCAGAGCCCATGTTCATGGTGCTGTTGTTGGTATGGGAGCCATGCGGCGCAGTGATGGCAACAGCCCTCTCTCTCAACCTCTGAATTCCGCCCTTCATTCGGAGGCATCACTCAATTTTACGTTTCCAATCCACCCGTCCATCATAGGTTCATTTCGCCGTGGGGCGGGACCGGATGTGCCTAGAATGGCCAGATGATGCCATAGACTTCTACCCAACGCTCGAACAGCGCCTTCAGGTTTTGTATCAGGTTATCAGCGAGACGCACATAATTAAGCTGATGCAGCTGCGAGAGGCTATGGAAGACAAAAACATCGTCGACGGCTTCAAACGCGCTTGGACGTCATGGAAGAACGATCGTGGCTTCCACCTCAAGCGCAGAGTGCTTGTAACTTTCGGCAAGAATGTGCAAGGCCTGCGTGCAGCCGATCTCTGGATGGGCACCAAGAAGAAGAAGAAGATGTGGAGAAAATACCAACCGAGTGAGAACGCGCGTTTCTGTTTTACTTCACCATTCATTTCATCTGCTCGTGCACCCCTCGTGACGATGATGAACAACTTACCCTAATGCATCCCCACTGTGGCACGCAACTACATACCTGCTCTCCTTGCCCAGGCTTGTAGCGCATGTGCAGTCACATCCGCATGATAGCTTAACGTTGGTTCTTCTCCCACTCTCCCCTTCTCCCGCCCCCCCTTTAATCTACAGCTCTCCTCTTCCCTCCCGCCATCCCGTTCTCTCCCTCCCTCCATTTCTCTTCAGCCCTCCCCTTCTCTCCCGCCCTCCATGTCTCTCCTGCCCTCCCCCTCTCCCCTGCCCTCCCCTTCTCTCCCGCCCTTCCCTGCTCTACTGCCCTCTAGCCAACCCTCCATTCATTCTATACCGCCCTCCACTTCGTCCATACCCTTTGGACAAACCCTAACCATGTCGTGCATGATCTTCGTCCCCGCCTTGTCCTGCGTGCGCGCAGGAGGGAATCAGCGGGTCAGCTCGTGGGGAAACAGCAGAGACGGGCTCCCGTTTGCCAACGGCCGGTTTGTAGATGCAGTCCGGGAAGCATTTCGGAATCTTTGTGTCGGGCGCCGGGTGTGCGTCAAAGCCTACCACATTGCCTGGTCAATCATGGTGGTAAGGCATTATTGCTCTCCCGTCAGTTCGCTCTAGCTTTGCTTGCAATTCTTGCCCGCCAGACTGGAATGTGGGGCTATTTGCGCAGCCCGTGAACTCTACTCCGTCAGTGTCCACATATGTCTCTATTTCCCCTCTTTCCCATACTTTGCTACGCTTTTTCAGATTGACCAGGGCTTGGCAAAGGTTAAGAAGGCCGACTGGAACGTCTCAAACTCCCACCGCAAGAACACCGAGTGGATGACGGGTTTGCACCGAAATGTGCGGTGGATTATCAAGGACCACTTCACACGCCACACCCCCGTGTACAACACAGTCGTGCAGGGCTTCAAGTGGGGCGACCGTGGCCTGTATGTTCACGAGTCAGGATTTGAGGCGTTCAAGGGGAAGGCCGTGCCTGACGAGGAGAAGAAGGACTTGAAGGAGGAAGAGCAGGAGGTGTACGACGCGGAGGACTTGAAGACGGATGACGAGGAGGATGACGAGGATCAGGAGGAGGAGGAGGAGGAGGAGGAGGAGGAGGAGGAGGAGGAGGAGGAGGAGGAGGAGGAGGAGGAGGAGGAGGAGGAGGAGGATGAGGAGGAGGAGGAACAGTGGGGGCAGGAGCGGAGGAAGAGCAAAAGGCACAAGAGATGCAAAAGCAGGGGAGGCAAGAGGGATGAGCAAGAGGATGAGGATGAGGAAGAGGAGGAGGAGGATGTGGAACGGGGGGGGCGGGAGCTTAGGAAGGGCAGAAGGCAGAAGAGAGGGAAAATCAAAGGAAGCAAGGGGGAAGAGGAAGAGGATGAGGAGGAGGAGGAGGGGGAGCAGGCGGATGAAAATCATAGGGGGCAGGAGAGGAGGAAGGGCAGAAAGCACAAAAGAGGCGGAGGCAAGGGAAGCAGGAGGGAAGAGGTAGAGGAGGAAGAAGTGGAAGAGGAGGAAGAGGATGAGGATGAGGATGAGAAGGGGGGGGGGCAGGAGCGAAGGAGGGGCAAAAGACACAAGAGTGGCAAACGCCGGGGAGGCAAGAGGGTCAAGCGATGGGGCGTCTAAACAAGGGGGGCAGCAGATGAGGCATGAGTGGAGTTTACAAGGGGGGGCAGCAGGATAGGCATCACACACTTGCGAGGAGACATCAAAACGGAGGTAGAGGCATTGGTGGAGACAGCTAGGGGGGCAGCACGCCAGGCAAGAAAGTAGAGTCAGCATGGGGAGTAGCACGGGCGGCAAAAGCGTGGAGTCAGCAAGGGGGGCAGCAGTAGAGACAATGTGAGGAGTGTCCAAGGGTGGGCAACCAGCAAGGCAACCAGATAGTGCAAGAGGGTGCAGCAGAAAAGGCATGAGTTGAGAGAGTTGGGGGGGCAGCAGAAAAGGCACGAGCAGATAGAGGGGAGAGCACAGGGGGGGCAGCAGGTTAGGCATGACTGGAGCAAGCAGCAGTAAAGGCATGACTGGGGAGCGCCAGGGGCGGAGCAGCAGACGCATGAGAGGGCAGAGCATGCAATGAAGCAGTGGACGCAGGGGCAAGGTCAACCTAGAGCACCAGAGATGGGGTTCGGTGGAAGACATAGTGTACTGGAGCATGCTAAGCAGGTCGTAGGATGATGCTGCTCAACCTAACTGACTAGGCACAGAGGGTTTAGGATGCTGTTTTATGTGCGTTTTTAGGGTGGAATTATCAGCTTTTACCAAAGCTTCTGTATTGTTCATTTGGAATGCAAGATTGAGGCAACTTAACATAGTTTTAAATTACATATAAGGTCGTGCAAGTCTCCTACATAAACTTATTTTAATGAACCCGAAATCCCATAAAGAGTACATTGCAATGAGATCCGATCTTCGAAATTGCTCTGCGGAAACTTGTACCAAACTTCTTCCGAAGGTGTTCACCTGGCAGGTTTGAACAGAAAAGCATTGGAGAAGCATTTGAAAAGCGTTCGAGAAAGCATTTGGAAAGCAACCTATACTTTCTCATAAAAGCGTTCGAAAAACGTCGTTCATGAATCATTCGACAAAACTCCAAAGCAACTTTTTTCATCGGTTTTCCGGATGCAGGATTTTTGTGATGCCGTGCGTGCCCCTGGCAGTGACGTGCAGGGCGTGAAAACCATTCCCGCGCGCATTGCGCAACTCGACCACATGACGTCTCTGTGAGTGCCTTGCGCTTTCTCTGCCTTGCATGAGTACGGTTCGGTGGGTATGACATGCATTGGCAATGTGGTGCTGCTGCTGCGCGAAGCGGTTCGCAGTCAGTGTTGCCTCGCGTCAAGTCCCCAGTTCTGTCCACTGCACACATCCATCCATCCATGCACCACACGCACTTTCCTCCACCTCTTCACTCTCCTCAGTTGACCTATATTCCCAATGCTCCCTCTGTGCGCCTCATCCTGTCCTCTACCCCGCGCCACCCCCGCATGTGTGCAGGAGCATCACATTCAGCGATGTGCGCAGCGCCTTTCCACCCGCCATCCTCGCCATGCCCACCCTCAAGCACCTGTGAGGCATCCGCTGCATCTTGCTAGCCATGCGCCCATGCTGCCACCATGCCTGCACTGCGTCTCCAACCAGCACCTCACACACCCTTGTGTTTGTTGTATGTGTGTGGAGCGGTGGGCATGCACATGCATCATGCATGGATACGACTGGTATGGAATATTGGCATGGATTGTTGGCATCTGCACGAATGTTGGGATGCTGGGATGTGTGCATGCGTGTGTGAATGCTTGGTGCATGTGAGCAGGAATCTGTCAACGTGCCTCATGTTTGGCCCATTGTGGCAGTCCTTCAATTACACCAGTTCAAGTGCCTTGGAAACCATGTGAGTCACCGCGTGCTTTCGCCTTTCCACCGCACACTACCTTTGCCATGCCAGCCTTAGCGTCAGTCAGTCAGCCAGCCTCTTCGCCTTCCCTTCCTCGCACTTCATTCGTGCCATCTGTCTCACCCTTACATTCTTGCTCCTGCCACTTCCACGTGAACGTTCATTCTTGCCCTTCTTCTCTCACACAGCCATGCCATGCTGTGCTGTGCCGTGCCGTGCCATGCCGTGCCATGCCATGCTGTGCCATGCCATGCCATGCCATATGCCATGCCATGCCGTGCCATGCCATGCCATGCCATGCCATGCCATGCCATGCCATGCCATGCCATGCCATGCCATATGCCATGCCATGCCGTGCCATGCCATGCCATGCCATGCCATGCCATGCCATATGCCATGCCATGCTGTGCCATGCTGTGCCATGCCATGCCATGCCATGCCATGCCATGCCATATGCCATGCCATGCCGTGCCATGCCATGCCATGCCATGCCATGCCATGCCATGCCATATGCCATGCCATGCTGTGCCATGCCATGCCATGCCATGCCATGCCATGCCATGCCATACCGTGCCAGCCCATTTCATGCAGCACATCACAAGTGTCTGCTTGATTCGTTGTCACTCACACGCGACTCTCACCTGCACCTGGCATCGGCCAATCCACGTGCCTGCCCGTGAGCAGCAATCTGAGCTGCAATGGGTTCGATGGCGCCATTCCAATGGCCCTCTCCAGAATCACCTCGCTTAGGCACCTGTGAGCTCTCCTTCCCTCTCTCATTCCTCCTATCACTTTCTCCTCTCCCTGCATCTCCCTTCCGCCCACTCCCTGAGTCCGTTTGGAGGAGCTCGCTGCCTTGGTAGTTGTTTTGTTAAGAATATATCTTCTGTTAGCGATAACATGGAACTTGCAATCAACAAATTCCTGCATCGTCGTGTGTGTGCAATCACTCACCATCACTTGTGTCACCAATTGATGATGCGCTCTTGCTCACTTCCACCACCGCCCATGTGCCCCCTTGCCTGCCACAATGGCCCATGTTGTGTGCATCCCATGCCATGCCTTGCACCCAGTATGTCCTCCCACCCTGCTCCCCGCGACCCCCTGTGGGTGCGCCAGCGACCTGAGCTACAACATGCTGATGGGGAGCATGCCCGCCACGCTCAGTGCCCTCAAGGACCTCACTGCTCTGTGAGTGCCCCGCACGCCCATGCCCGGATCACCCCATTGTGTGCCTGGATGGGTGGATGGGTGGTGGGTGGGTGGTTGGGGGGTTAAGGGGGGGGAGTAAGCAAGGGAGGGTGCGAGAAGGGCAAGTGGGCAGGCAGGGGGGGGTGGGGAGGGGGTGGTTGGACTGGAATGAAGTGGCAGGGCAGTGGTCCCTCCGGAGGGGCGGACCGCTTGCACGCGTTGCCAGGGCTGATGCATGGGAGGCCAGGCACCCGCTGTGAGGAGGCACGGGCAAGAAACGGGCTAGGTGGTGAGGACTGGGCGGACGTAAGCCCAGGAGAGAAGATGGGAAGGATGGAGTCCATTGCGACAGGACAAGCAGCTGTGCCATAGCACGTGGCAGGTGTGCTTGCATCGCCATGGCACGTGTGCTTGCATAGCCATGGCACGTGTGCTTGCATAGCCATGGCACGTGTGCTTGCATAGCCATGGCACGTGTGCTTGCATAGCCATGGCACGTGTGCTTGCATAGCCATGGCACGTGTGCTTGCATCGCCATGGCACGTGTGCTTGCATCCCCATGGCACGTGCGCTTGCATAGCCATGGCACGTGTGCTTGCATTGCCATGGCACGTGTGCTTGCATAGCCATGGCAAGTGTGCTTGCATAGCCATGGCACGTGTGCTTGCATAGCCATGGCACGTGTGCTTGCATAGCCATGGCACGTGTGCTTGCATAGCCATGGCACGTGTGCTTGCATAGCCATGGCACGTGTGCTTGCATAGCCATGGCACGTGTGCTTGCATAGCCATGGCACGTGTGCTTGCATCGCCATGGCAGGGGCGTCGCAGTTGCCGGCACTGATGTGGGCACCGGGTTCTCCCATGCCTTGCCCTTGGCTGCTCCTCCATGCCAAGACCATCCATCCCCTCTCCCTCGTGTGCCGCCTTGCCTCCATTGCGGGGGGTGTATGTGTGTGTGTGTGTGTGTGTGTGTGTGTGTGTGTGCGTGCGTGCGCGTGCCGTGCAGGCACGTGAACATGAATCGCCTGCAAGGACTGCCCACCGTGCTCACCACCTTCACTGCCCTCAAGCGCCTGTGCGTGCCCTGCCCTCACCTGCTCTCCGCATTCTCTAACACTCTCTAAGAAATTTCACATGTTGATGCTTTTGCACAGCTTGCGTTACTTGGGATCCGCACCCACATGCATCGTCCTTGCTTCTTTCCAACCTCGGTCTTTTATATTCGATGACTACCCTGCGCCCTTTGAGGCGCCTCAAAAGTCGACGACTACCCTGCGCCCTCCCGTCCTTCCGTGTGCGGCCATGTCATGTGTGGGCGTCAGATCAATGGGGGCAAATGACTGGACGCAGGGCGTTCCTGCTTTGCTGGGCGATCTGAGCAACCTTGAAATGCTGTGAGTTGAAACTTGCACAGTGCGATGGAAAGTGATGGCGATTCAAGTGGAGCGTGGATGATTGACAGGCCATGCACATCCATCACACCCTGTAGTACTTGGTGTGCCGCCCCGCGTACCACTGCTCCCATGACCCCCTTCACACTTTCCTCATGCTCTTATCACCCTCCCTACGCACCTACACCCCTCGCCTAACCCCCTGCAACAGAAGCCCACGTGGCTCACCGCCCACTTTCATTTCGTACCTGGTGGTCTTGGTGCCGCACAACACGCCCGCCCCCCCAGTATAGAGTATTCCCTCTCCATAGTCCTAGCACTTGACGGCCCCTAAGGCAAGCCGTGTGGGCCACGGGCACGGGGAGGGCATGCAGGAACTTGGACTACAGCCGCATCGATGGGTCTCTACCGTCGGAGCTGTCCCGGCTGAAGAAGCTTACCGAGTGGTGAGCGCATGGTATGCACACTCCACACTCCCCGCTCGGGATTTACTATGCCTGTGTTGCGCTTGTGTGATCGTTGCGTGAATGTTTCTGTGTTGCTGATTGCGTTGTTTAAGAGGCATCAACTGTGGCGCTCTGGGTGGCACTGATTTTAAGTGGCAATAACTGTGGCGCTCTGCTTGCACTGTTTCCCATGACAAGCAGCTCCCCTCCCTGTGCTCCTCCACTCCTCTCTCCATGCCCCTGCCCGTGTGCAACGCGGCGGTGCCAGGCACATGTCGTATTCGTGGTGGGTTGGCCAGCTGCCAGAGTGGATAGGCAGCCTGACAAGCTTGAGAGCCCTGTGCGTGAGGCCATGCCACGTGTGTCCTTCCATGCCATGCCATGACATACCAGGCCATGACATAGTGTGCTGTTGTTGTCATGCACCTTCTGCCATGTGCCATGCTATGCATTGCTTTCATGCTCATGGGGCGTGCCTTGTATTATGAGGGTGTTTTGCCCGCTGATCTGACACCTATCATCCTCTCCAATGCCATCTGCTCGTCTGTCTGTGCATGGCACGCATGTGCATCATGCGTGCACCATGCACCCTGCACCAGGTCCTTTGACCGCAGCTACTTCAATGGCACCATCCCAGCATCCATTGGCAATCTCAGTAACCTCACCCTCCTGTGAGTGTGCCTTGTGCATGTGGGGCATGCATGCTGTCTCGGAGCATGGTGGGGCATGGTGGGGCATGGTGGGGGTGGGAGAGAAGTCCATGAGTGCTTGCAATAACATGCACCGTCATCACCTGTGTGACACGAGCCTCTTCCTTGCCTTGCCATGCCATCGCTGAGGTGCCTTGGAAGATCATCTGTTCCTCCCTCCCCTCCCGCTCGCCCTGTGAACTTCATTCATCCATACATGCATGCACCTCACCTCCTTGCGCTTCTCCCTCTCTGCGCGTATCATCCATGCTCCTTGCCATATCCCCTTTTGACTGCACTCATTCTGCAAACTTGTATTCTCTCTCCAGCTCCCCCTCACATCCTCCACACCACGATGCGCTCTCCCCTTTTGCCCAACGATGCATCACTCTGTGCCACACTACCATGTGCTATTGCAAGGACTTACATAAGAATCACCTGGTTGGACTATCTGTATCTTAACGATAGAACAAGCTCCCTTGGTTCCCTACCTCGCAGCACTTCCCCTAACGTTTTTCCTCAGCTGCTCTGATGCTATCGCTCCCAACATCTGTAATTTCCGCACAGGGACATGGACCAGAACAACCTCATGGCAAGCATCCCTGAAACCCTTGGAAATTTGAAGGACCTGAGCTATTTGTGAGCACCAGTGCACTACTTGGGAGGGGATTGAAGAGGGGTTGGGTGGGCGTGGAGGTGAGCTGGCCGTGGTGGTGAGCTGGGCATGTGACAGATGTGATGGGAAGAAAGGGGCAAGGTATGGGAGACTGCTGAGTCGTGTTGTGCATGCTTTGTAGCAACGTACCTGGTGGGAGCTGTCGATGCCAAAAGAGTGCCCTTCAGACGGACTCCATTGGTAGCTTGTGCCCTTGTCTCGTTGGCCCGGAAACCTGACTCACTCTCGTCTCTCAATCGCTGTTGCACGAGAGACTGCGCCCTTCACAGCAGTTTGAGGTGACTTTTGAGTCGACTCAAAAGTCACTTTTGCATGAGAGACTGCGCTGCGCCCTTCACAGCAGTTCCACGTGTTTTGCTTGCTGTTCAAGATGGCATTGCAACGTAAAGTAGAGATAGCATTCGGCCTGTAATGGCTCTGCTCACACTTTCTGTATCGCAACGAGAGAGCAAGCTCCCTTAGTCCCCTACCTTTGTTCTACCTGCTCTCACGCTGTCATCCCCAACACCTGTAACCTCCGCACAGGAACTTAGGTCGGAACAACCTCACAGGAAGCATCCCTAAAACCATAGGCAATCTGCGGGACCTGAGCTATTTGTGAGCACCACTCCGTTACTTGGGAGGGGAGTGAAGAGGGGCTGGGTGGGCGTGGTGGTGAGCTGGGCAAGTGACGGAAGTGATGGGAAGAAAGGGGCAGGGCAGGGGAATGGGGGACAGTTGAAGCGGTTGGTTAGGGGGAGTTTGAGTCGTGTAGCGCATGCGTTGTGCCAGGTGGTGAGGCCAGTGGAGCTCTGGTTACCATAAGAGGGCCCTCCAGACGGATTCCATGGTTGCTTGTGCCCTTGTCACCGCGTTTCAAGGAAACCTGATTCACTCTCGTCTCACAATCGCTTTCGCATTTCCGTACTCTATTGTGCCCTTCACAGCATTTCCCTACTCTATTGTGCCCTTCACAACATTTCCCTACTCTATTGTGCCCTTCACAGCATTTCCCTACTCTATTGTGCCCTTCACAGCATTTCCCTACTCTATTGTGCCCTTCACAGCATTTCCCTACTCTATTGTGCCCTTCACAGCATTTCTTTGTATTTTGATGTGCTTTTCTTGCGGTTCAAGATTGCATTGCAAAATAAAGCAGAGAGAATATTCGACCTGTATGACCACACGTGCATGCAGGAACATGCCTCAGAACATGTTGAGTGGTCCGCTGCCCTCAGAGCTGTCTTCACTGCAACACCTGGAGTACTGGTGAGGGTCGTGTCATGTGAATGTGTGGTGATGTGAGGTGACTTTTAAGTTTTTGCGAGTGCATGGTGAGTAGCCATTGTGACATGCTATTGCAAGTTGCTGCTCTCTCACTTTCTCTTCCTTCACATTCTTGCATGCCAATATTGACAAGAGCAGCCTTCAACCGGGTACTTGCCATTCCTAGCCATGGCGACCGCTGGATCTCAGTGCTGAGCTGTCTGTACACACAAGATGCTAATCGCTGATCGCACCTACCTGCTACTGCTAATCTGCTGCTAGTTTGGTTCAGGGGTTGACACGAGATGCTCCTGAAATGCGAGCTGATATGAGTGACATGAGCCACCGATAATCGTGCCACTGATAATGTCTGGCGCGCGCATCAGTGTTGGCGCACCTATATTGACCTGTATAGGGCCCCCTTGTCCACATTGCTGCAAGGCAGGCCCCTCAGTCAAACAGCAGAAAGTGGTTGACCAAGGACTCACTACCACTCCTGCTTTCCCTCTTGCCCAACCTGTTGATTGCCCACCTTTCTTTGTTTGAATTCCAGGGACATGAGTCAAAACCAGCTGGGAATGGAGATGCGTGCTTGGATTGGCAGCATGGCAACCTTGAGCTACCTGTGCGTGCCGCCAAGCACCATATTGCGCCGCTTTCTGTTGTGCACCAGCCGTGTTCTTCTCTACTCGTTCTGAACCTTTCTAGTTATTAGGCCAGCGTAGCTAAATTACATGACAATCACCTGGCATAACACATTCCCTTCAGATAGTGTTTACATGATGATTTCTTTGATACATACGCTCTCATCGCTCTCTTCTCCTGTCCCTTTCTTCCTCCTTTCGTCTATCATTTGTTACCCTTACTCATCGTCTATCATTTGTCACCCTTACTCGTCGTCTATCATTTGTTACCCTTACTCATCGTCTATCATGCCTGTCTCTGATATCCCACACCACACCATACTTCAGTGCTCTCAGCTACAACCGCTTCAATGGCTCCATCCCAGACTCGCTGGGCAATCTACAAAACCTGACGCGCCTGTGCGTGAGCTGGGAGGGGCAGTGACGCATGGTGTGTTGGAGGGCAGTGCAGAGTGGAGGGGTCACAGAGACTGCTGCTTCGTTCCGTGTGCAAGGGAGAGTGATGTAGGAATGCGACTGTGTTAGCTTGAGAGGCTGGCATGCTTATGGAGGGCTTGCTTCTGATAAGCTGCTGCAATCTCAGCTCTTCCACCCCGATATCTCTATCCTCCCCATTCCTCTCCTTTTTTTATCTCCCAGCACCTCCTTCCGTTCGTCCTTTCCTCTACCTCATTACATTCCATGCAACATATCCGCTCATGTTGCGGCCTACTTGGTTTGCTCCATACCCACGATGTTTCAGTGCCCTCAATCACAACTTGCTCTCAGGAACCATCCCCGAATCATTCAGAGATCTGACTGGCTTGAAGTCACTGTAAGAAGGCAGGCTACGCTGGGCTGCTGGGAAGACAGGCCAAGTAGTTGCAGCGTTTGCGAGTGTGTTTTGAGTCGACTCAAAACACATGGGAAGACACGCCAAGTAGTTGCAGCGTTTGCGAGTCTCCGCATGGTCGGCATGGCTGTGTCTCACCAAGTATCACGTGTCAGCCGCAGCGAAGTGAGAGAAGCACATGTGGGCTACCATGGCCAAGCTGGGTTGTCAGTTGGAAAGGAAGCCACCATGGTAGCACGTGCACTTGAGTCACTTCTTACAATACAACACGCTTCTGTTACATTCCATGCCATTGCATGCCATCTCATGTACCCACAATGAGCAGGCATAGTAGGAGTTCACAATAATAAGCAAAGCTAGAGGTAATCACAGCGGGCAAGTGAGGAGGAGGAGGAACTGTGGAAGGAGAGAAGATGGGAGGCAACGACTGAAGCTGCAAAGGCACGGGCACAGGAGCGGCTGACTCAGTGGCTACCGAAGCAAGGGCGATGGACTACTAGAGTGACTGGCTCCGCGGCTAAGACGAGCGGCAGGAGCAACGGACCCACTGGCGACTGGTGCAATAGGCTCACTGGCTACCGAAGCAAGGGCGACGGACTACAAGCGCTGCAGGCGACACGATAGCTACCTCCACACAACCTCCTCCAACTGACCCACACCCTTGACACACACCCCCTGCTGAACCCCTAACTCCACTCCCACGTCACCCCCCTAGCGCCATTCCCCTCGGCTCCCACACCTCCACCCCCCTCAGCAGTAGCTGCAGCAGTGGGAGACGAACAAGGAGGTGGGGAGAGGGAAGGGGAGTACCCACACCGCGCACCCCCATGCTCACCACCCCACACCCCCCACCACCGCGGAACGCACGGCGGCACGGGAGGAATGGGCAGCACGGGGGTGGGACGGTACAGGAGGGGCCGCACGTCTCTCCTCAGGGCGCCAAAACAGACGGGCGAGGGGGCGCGCGCGGCTCCCTAGGGCGCCGCGACGGACGGGCGGGGGGCGCGCGCGGCTCCCCAGGGCGCCGCGACAAGAAGAGCGAGGGGCCGCGCGTGCTCCCCAGGGCGCCGCGACGAGCAGGGCAGGGGCCGCGCGCGGGTCCCCAAGGCCGCGCGGCGGGCAGACGGGCCGCGCGCGGCCTGCAGGCCCGCGCACGGCCGGCACGGCGACGCGACGGGAAGGGCAAGGGGCTGCGCGCGGGTCCCCCACGGTAGGAAACCGCCGCGCGCCTCGTGGCGCACGGCGGGCAGAGAACCCTAAAAAACATTCGCAGGAAGAAGGCGTCGCACGCCACGGGGGGTGCAACAGACAGAGTAGCAGCGAAAGCAGTTAGGTGGTGGGCCCACCCACAGGATCGTGTCAGAATGTTATCTTATGTTCTAGCCTGTAGTGGGGTGCTCTATAGCGAGTACAACTTTTCTAGGGTTTGCTATTTGTATCCCCATTTCTGCTAGTTCAATCCTCTTCTTCTTTCTTCTAATTTTGTCATGCTATCAGAGCAGGTCGATCCCCTTGGATCGATCCTGTGGGTGGGTTACCACCTCGCTTCCGCTGCTACTTTTCCTTCCCGCCGTGCGCCCCGAGGCGCG